ATGGATAATAGCCACATGTACATGATAGCATTGTAATGTACAATGTATGCAGTGGATGGATAATAGCCACATGTACATGATAGCATTGTAATGTACAATGTGTGGAGTGGACAAGCATTCAAATCAAGCATTCTTGTCATTCTTGTAAACATAAACATTTATATGTTCCATGTTAACTGAACCATGCCTTAAAGCGGTTCCATTAGATTGCATTAAAAAGGTGCATGTGAAATTACTGAAACTGAAACCCACAAGATTATTTAACGCAATCGCCATTCATGTATTCTCTAGTTTCTTTGATTTTCCATTGAAACCAGTTATTTTCACTTTGGCAGATCAAGGACAAGAGCTGATAGTGAGAGTGCAGAAAGCACAGAATTATCTGATTCTGAAAGAATGAGAAAGAAATGTAACATGCATGAGCCTGATTCAGATCTGACAGTAGAACGGTAACACTTTCTGATATTTTACACATATAGTGATAGTGGATCCAGTCGGAGTTAAATTTTGTGCTTGTTTTCTCAATTATATGACTTGGTCATGAATATGGTATTTCAGTGTTGTCTAGTTATTTAATGTTATGTTAATCGTGTTTCACAACAACTTATTGTCCTTTATGAATTTAGAATTGGTGATAATGTGCTGTATAATTCAAAGGATTGTGCAATACAGATCAAGGCTGAAGTACAGGAAGAAATGTGCATATGTAGAAAACATGACAAACTTGTGACGAAACTGGGTAAGTTTTACAAGACATTCAATGACCTAACAGAAAAATTAAAAGATTTGCAAAGCTCATTCAATGACAAACCAGAAACATTCTGCTGATCTGCACTGGCTTGGAAGATGAATTCTGATTGGCTAAAAAACAAAAAACTTGTGGCGTTGAATGCACGTTCATTCTCAGTAATGTTATGCAAATTAGAAATTCAAACTAGCTAATCATTTACAACCTTCCGAGCCAGTGCAGATTAGCCCGAAACATTGAATGAGTTTTGGAAAGCTCTATCGATGACAAAAAGGAAATGAGATTTTCAAAGCATTTAATGACAAAACAGAAACACTGATGTTCAATGACAGAACAGAAACAAAGATTGATTTACCGGATTCAGCTGATACCCCGCCCTGGGCGATCTTATGGAGGATTCGGTTTTTTTTTTTAGAAAAATGTGGACCAAAAGATCGCCCGGGCAATCTTTTGGCAGATATTACGAGGCCCATCTTGTCTGGAAAAATAACCTGCGTTGATAAAAATGGTCTAGAAAAAATAATGTTTCGCGTTGACCAAATATAATCATGCAAAGTATAAATTCAAAGTATTTTAATACATTGGTGAGAGGTCGCATTTTACATGAATAAGAACATGCACTAAGAAGGAAAAGCAAGTCAAAGGCGAAACGGAGTGCATCATGGACATGACACAACACACGTTGCGACAACTGGGTGATCAGCGACATCATTTTGGGACGCAATTGAATTTCAAGTACTTTGCGAAACTTGCTGCGCGGCGATGCTGGCATCAAGTGTGTGTTGACCGAAGTTTGACCCCAAGTCACGCACTGAACTGGTGCGTTACCTTAGCAACTATTTTCTTTTGTGGTCCGTGCGTAGATCTAGTAAAATTGTTATGTCTGACGGTACTGTCATTACGCAATTTGTATGCAACTCTGTACTGGCTTTGAATATATCAACGTCGTTCACTTAGTGCACTTCTTTTCTAATTACGCAAATTTGTTTACAATATTGTACCAGCTCTGAATATTTCACCTTTGTAATGTATTGCTTTCATGATAATTACGCAAACTCAAGTTACTTTTTACTATTGTTAGGATGCTGACCCGGGGTATTGGGTCTGTGAATATTTCAATAATACCAACTTGATAATGCGTTGCATTCGTAATAATTACACAAACATAAACATGGGCGCATTTAAATCATTAAAAATGATAGTAGTCGGGTATCTACGAAAAGTCGAGAAAATATTTTAAATACTTGTGATTCATCGATGTTCCAATGGTGATTTTTTTATTCGAAATGAAGTGAACATGTAATATAAACCATACCATGTGTCAAGTTAAATTTTACTATAATATAATATACTCTGGACAGCGCACTTCGATCGCAATATTCACGTACATTTCGACTGAACTCTAATAACCACGCGTTTGAATT